AGAACTGGAGGGGCTTGCGAGACCTCAGTGTGTGTCTTTCCACAGAGCAAGTGCTGACAAATAAATTTAAGAAGGAACTTCAGGAATTAACGAAGCTTCTTCAAGACAAAAACTCTACAATGGAGAAATGTTTCCAGCAAGAGAAAGAGGTGACTAGATCTGGAGAAACAAGTCAGCATTTAAATGCAGCATAAGCTGTTTGCTGTGGCCAGAAGCGCAGCGGTGCTCAGCGCATTGCAAGTCAGTGGTCTGCAATGTGCTTGCTTGCAGGGCCCCACATTCCCAGTAGCAGTGTGGATCTGGGACTTCAATTTAAGCATTCAAGAGGGAAGGGGTCCCTGGCAGACAATGTTTCTTGGCTTATGATCCACAGGCTCCTGCTGCTAACAGGCTAAACGTAGAAGTTGAGCCCTGGGGCTGAGTACAGACAAGTGGCTGCTGCAGGCTGTGTCCCCTTGGCCATGCAGCTCGGAGCAGTCAGTCTGCTCAAGTGCCTTGAATTTTGTGTGGTTGATAGCAGATGACTTGATGTGACAAGACTGAACACAACCTTTGCCACACTATTTCTTTCTAGCTTTTTATGAAACAGAATGAAGAAAACTTGGAGAAAATAGCCGAGTTGCAGAAACGCAGAGAGGCAAGTTTGGCTGCAGAAGGGACGTGTGTGGTGTGGGTGTGAGTGGGGCTCAGCTGGCTTGAAGTCTGTGCGTGATGTGATACTGGGTAAGCAATACTGGTAAGGCACCAGCTTATGTGCTGCTGTAATAAAATAATTTGGTGCTACTTGGTATATAACGTCTCTTCAAAAACAAAGTTTTACTATGGGGCCAAAATAACATCCAGCAGCATAGGAATAAGTTAGAGAACCTAAACCAGGGAGGCTGAAAGGGCATCATTCTGGCCAGCTGTATCTGCCAGGCTGAGGCAGGAGCAGCAGTTGGGTTTCCTGCAGGACCCAGCAGCTTGATGCCTGCAGTGGACGGGCCAGAGCCCTGCCTGTAACCTGAAGCTGGACTGCCTCGGTCAGTACGAGGAAGAGCAGCCTCCTGCCTTCCCTTCCGCCCTGAGCTGAGATTTTCAGCACTTCCTGCGCTGTGTGGGAGTAACTAAACGTTGATGCTGGAAGCTACCTTGTAGTCCTACCTGGCCAAGTTAGTGAAAGAGACAACGTAGGCTGTTCAGTCCAGGAGCTAATCCAGACTTGTGGGGCTGAGCATGTGCTGCTGGGTCCTGCAGCGCCTGCGGGCGGGATGGGAAGAGGCTGGCGAGGGGCCGGGGTGACACTGTCACCCGTGGCTGTCTGTGTGATGCTGCAGCAGCTGGAGGCCGAGCTCAAGGAGAAAGAAGAGAAACTTGAAGCTGTTACGACCAGTCTGCAGGATGCCCAGAGTGAGCTTCAAAGACAGGTGGGGATAGCATGGAGATCACCCTGTGGCACTTGTCAAAGGCACACAGGCATTTACGGAGGCTCCCCTCCTGTCTTGGACTGTGAGGGAAGCTGCTGTGATGCTCATACTTTTAAATTTTAGTGCAAAATACCTCTCCTATTGAAGGCAAGTTGCATACTGGCAACTGAGCTCTTATCAGTGCTCCCTTCATTTGATGTGTTAATGTTGCTGCTCTTTAGCTTAAGGCAGTGTCTGGCTTCATGGTCACTGTTCATGGTCAGGCTGGGAAGGGATGTGCCTGACTCCTTGCTTAGCGGAGGATCAAGGCAGGCCAGTGTAGAGGGCCACAGACAGAAATCTGCAGCACTAAAAAGGCTGAAAATGTGAGTTGAACAATCACCCGTGTTACTTTTAGGGGAGAACTGGGTAGGTTGCTACTTCGGATGTCTGCACTATATTTTAAGGCTTTACCTGCAGGTCAGTACACTTGGAAAAATATCTGCCGCCTCCTCCTGTGGAGTCTGCAGATGCTATCGCATAAGCACATTTATCCTGTTCCTGGAAGTCCTGGACATTGTTGAAATGCAAACATCCACTTCCTTAAGACTGACTCCATTCTGCATGTGTGGGACAGGCTCTGCTTTCCCTGTATATCACTTTTTCCATTTCCATGTGAAGCAATTTATCATATTTCCAGTAAGTTGATTTCCTCCGAGAAGTCTGTCACAAAGAGGAAAAGCTGTCAGAGTGCAGTAGCACTTGGTCCTCCCACTATCTATTATAAAGCTGTATGTTGGGATAGAGATTGTAGTACTCTACCTGGTGCTGAATTACCATGATGTTAACTGTGATTAAGTATGTATGGAAAAAGAGATGCCTTAACTTGCTGTGCAATTTAGGCTATTCTGATTTGTCAGTTCTAACAATCTGCTTCTCTAAAATCAGAAAAAGAGGACTGGTGGAGGCTGAGGAGGGCAAGTTGTATTTGACAAAACTTGTCTGTCACCAGCCAAGATCTGCTATTTGTCACTGCTATCTCATATTTTCTAGCTGGGAAAATTCTTCTTTGCAAAGTAAAAAACTAACTGTGTTTCCCTTTTCCTACCAAGAAAACAAAAAATCTACTCCTGGAGAGAAATATCAAGCAGAGAATTGCATCAGTTGAAGAAAAACACCAGATAACCGAAGCTTCTCTGCATGATGAAAATCTTAACCTGAGGTAGGTCATTAGCGCACAGAGAAGTAACTGGGCATAACTAGAGCCAGTATAAAGTATATGTGTTGCAAGATTAGCGGTTCTTAATCTTCCTGTGTGTGTTCTGTCTCATTTACATCTCTATGCTGCTCCCTGTTGCTTGGGGCCTGTCAGCCTGTCACACACACACGAGGTGTGTCTGTAGCTGCGACTGTAGGATACAGCGCTCTGGGAGCACACACAGCCCCTTTGGAGACCGATGACTGACATGTAGCTCTTATGCCTTTGCCATCTGACCAGCTGCAGTGAGGAACACAGGTCCTCAATGAGTCTGTTATGGCCAGGCTTGTTCATAATATTTGCTATTTAGTACTTTGCTTAAATGATTTTAATGTTTTTCCCTATTTTAAAAAATTATTTCATAACCAGTATTTCCCCCTAGCCTGTCCTATTGCGAGTATCTTCTGCCTGATGATTTTCAGCAGTGAGGCCCCATCCTTTCTGTTCAAGTACTGAAGAGGTAGGGTGTAATTCAGTGGGGGCCAAAGCTGCCTGCTTCCTTCATGTGAATAGGAAGAGCTCATTGCGATTGCTGCCATGAGAAGAGCTGCTCTGTGGAGTTGTTAGAAGTCACTGCAATCAGACCAGAGCAGACGTCAGGTGCTTTGTATGAGGAGACTTAATATGGCAGAGATTACATTCCTAACTGATGCAATACTCCTAACCAGACTCATAATTAATTACACAAGGAGATTCCTTGACTATGGCATGCATTTATCCAGGGGGAAAAAAAGTCATGAAGTTATCCAAATTTCCATACCATGAACCCTGGAGGAAAGTAGTTCCTTCAGAGTAGCCAACAGTACTTATTGTAGCCAATTGTATGTACTGTATTCTGTTTTGTTTGCATTTCTAAGGAAAACACTGTTGATGGAAGCATGCTGTCACACTCTTGACTTGGGAAGCAATATGTGCTCTTACATTTGTCAGAAATGCAGACTTAAGAAAACAAAACAGTCTCATTCGGAGTGGAAAGGGATCTCTGAGTTCAGTATCTAGGGAATAAATCCACAGAAAACCAGATTGCACCAATTATTTTGCATGAGGAATATTATGCTTCTTTGCTTATGGCTTCTATTCAGTACTCAAGTAAAGTAAAAATGTGTTGGTTTCACCAGGATTGGCCATTTCTGGCAGTGCCCAAGAAATAGCTGATACACAGAAGTTTCTCTGTCCTTGCTTCAGCTCAGCTCCCATTGCTTTCAAGCTGAATCTCTAAGCAAATATCAACCAGTATCTAGGAAAATTATCCAGATAACGTGGAAGCACAGATTGGACTGCTTCTGTAACTGCCTGCTGCATCTGCCATCTACTAAGGTTTTAAACACTTTCACAGTCAAAATTGTCTTTGCCTTTATTTTCACAGGCAGAAACTAGTGAAAAAGAATGAAGAAGTATTCAGCAAAAGAGTCCAGAGAAGGATTTAGGCTCCTAACAAACATAACTGTAGTGAAGATATAATCTGTTCAGCAAGGTCATCACCTACGTGGGCATCATTGCTAGTGCTGAAATCTGTAATGTGATTGTAACGGAATGAACATGTCAATAAAAAAAAAAATAGCAAATTGGAGCCTAACAAAGCTTTACCTTCTACTCACAGCTTGCTCCATTCCCAGTTCTCTGATCTCAGGAGGTACTACATAAATGTTTCTGAGGAGGTGGTCTAACAAATTCTTCTTTTGTTATGCCTGTAACTGAGATCTGAAGACCAGCAAGGTAAGTGAAACAGGGCTACAGGCCATATTCAGACACGAGGCCACACCTGGACAGTGGATTTCATTGTTAGGACTGCTAGAGGAGGAGGATGCTCTGAAATATCGAGCACCTCTACATCCTGTTAAAGATGATGGAGGAAAAGTTTTGAATTTGCCTTGAGATGTACTGAGTCTCTAAAGCTGAGCTGAAGAATGAGTTAAAGAACACTGGTGTGAGGCTGTGCATCCTGTGCTTTGCCTCTGATGCTACTCTAGCACCTCTGTTGCTAAGATCATCTGTTCAGGTTTGTGGTGATGTCAGGCTGTGATGAGGAAGAGTGGTCTGTGTATCCTATCACTAACCCGAGGGTATTCTCTGACTACAACTTTTACAAATTTTAAATAAAATTTGCAACCCTTCCCCTTTTATTTTACAAAAGCTAAGCATAAAATACACAAGGCTCTGTAACAGCTGTCTCTTAAATTTGGCAATGTGTTCCATCACTTTAGGAAAAATATCTTACTAAGGAAACAACAATGTAGTACAGCTGATAGAACAATGATTGTATTTTAGCCAGCAAACTACAAAACAGAAACCAGCTCAGAAATAGTCTCAAGTATAAAATGTCATATAAAATATAATTGTCTGAAGATATAGCTGAGGAGCAATAAAGCAGCTGCTCTTGTGCTAAAAGCAGACAGTGCAAGTTGTCAGCAATGTTTTACCAAAGCCTGAACTTCTACCAGCAATTTCCAAATTGCTGCTCTGCAGTTCCCTCACGTTCAGTTGACAGGAAAGATGAGTTTTTTCCTCAGTGTGAAACTGGGCTGTGGCATCTGCTTCCCTGCATTCTGCTTGTCAAGCTTTCTGCTCACCTCTTCATTCACTGCTGTCAGGATGGTGAGAATATCTTCTCCTCTGCAAAAATACAGGTATGTTTTGTATTAGAAAAGTGGTTAATACCAGAAAACTTAATGTATTCTCATGAATTTGAGGTATACCAGCCCTAATCAATCCTGTTTTAAAGGCTTCAGCAGTTAGGTAGATTGTTTATAATGATGTGTTTTAACTTGTTGCTCTGTCCAAAATTACTGTTTTCAGTCTGAGCAAGCACTCCCCACCAAAAATCATCTGTCTCTGCATCCAAATCAAATTCCCATCACTCAGAAGGAAAACCCAGGTGTAGTCTATGGAAATATAGTTACCGAGGACAGCTGTTCTCCAGGTGCTGACACAGTGACTGTATATACCAGCTCCCATGGCTTGGACTTCTGTAGGAAACATAGTCCTGCAGAGTAGCCATGCCCAAGAGGAAATCTGCTTCGGAGGGGATGAAGTCAGGCTGCAATCTCCCATCTGTTTCTACAGAAGAATCTTGCCCTGTAGAATCCACTTCAATGACTACACCTTGCTGGCGAGCATCACCTTGGCAAGCCTGAACAAAGAAGACTTTTGGTTTTCCTGCAAGCGAGTGGCAATTCTGCCCAGTGAAATAAGTGGTTAGTTCCTGGATAGGTACTTCCTGACCATCAACACCATATATAATGCCTTTTTTTCCATGAGAGAGGATGCAGCAAACAAAGCAGTCCTTGTCCTTGTGGTCTTCATTCTGGTACTTTTTCACAACGTTATGGATTTCCTTTGCAGTCAGATCTTTATGTTCTGCTATTTTAAAGTGAAGCTTGCTGAAGACCTTGCTTAGAGCCGCTATAAAGTAAAAAAGAAAGGGAACTGGACTAGTTTCATAAAGCTTTTTTTTTTTTCCCCAAAAATTATATGAATATAGATAACCTGTCTGTTTCTTAATCCTATTTGACTTCTGTACAGAGTTACATTCTTGCTCTGAAAAATCATCTAGCACTCTGACTGCTAGTCATATCATTAAGTCCCCTTCTAGTTCTCATTACAAGGTTTCCGTGGCATGCTGCTGTTTATTAGTTCCTCTGTCTGGAAAGTGTGCAGAGTTATTAAGAAAGCCTTATTTCCTAATCCACTACACAGCTAGCCTTGCTCTTAAAGCCCAGGCTGGCTTTGCTGCTGAAGGTTGCAGAAACCTAAGTAAAATGCTAGTGAGTTGCTCTTAGTGAGCCAGAGAAGCCCTCTTTCCATGAATGGAGACTATACAAATTCATCTTTAATGTTCACAGTACCTGCATCCACATCTGTCCCCTTCCGATCCTTCAGCTTATGTCCAGCCACTTCTGCCCCGTTTCTTTCAAAATTGTGGTTATTCAGGATGAGGCACACTCCCCGAGGTCGGCTGGTCATTTTGTAAACTTCGAGCTGTTGGACCAAAGCACACTGGTGAAACCCCTGCAGTCTCCCCCAGGTGCTTCTCAGCCCTGGACTTCTCTGGCCAGCCTTCCCCACGTGACTTTGCTCCATGGTCATGGCAAGGCACTGCCCAAGTTAGGAAGTCTCTGCACAGCATGACCTGGCCCATCACCATGCTCAGCCCATCAGGGATGCTGCTGATATGCCCAGCAAACTGCAAAATTCCTGGAATAAGAAACGACCTATCTTGCTTCTCTTTCAAACCTTTCTAAAGCTTTAAGAGTGCAGCAGCTGCTGCCTCCGTTTCAGCTCCAGAATAAGCTTATTACACAAGTGGTGTCTTTTTTTTTCTTTTATTCCAGACACAGCCTTTAACAGTTGTGCTTGTAGTAACTGTTCACCTCAGGGAGGGGACTGCTTCCCACACAAGACCATGAAGATGTTTCTAGGAAACAAATTGACTTACCTGGGAAGATGCACAATGTCTGGCAGGAGAATCAGGTGCCAGAAATGAGGCCAGCTGTCTGGTATGGCCTGAATACACACACAAGAAGATATGTGTAAGTAACGTACGTAGCACTAGAGAAAGGAGAGAGGCTTTGCTCCTATACTCCTTCTCAGCAAGTATTTCCAGAGATAACTACTCTTTGAAAATACTAAATTGTGATTTTAACAGCTGTTTCTGTTAGATTATAAATCATTAAAAAAGTTAAAAGAGAGTAAAAGTATTTTGATAGCTAATAGGTGGGTACTTGGTCACTATTTACACAGTCAACTTTGTAAAGTGAGATGCGAGTGGCATACAGAGTCCAAAAATTTGAGAAAAATAAAAAGCCTAAAAAAGAAAAGTTGCAGATGTTACCTGCAGTGACTCCTAGGATCACAGAGCTACTCTGTCCCTCTGTGCAGAGCATCTCTTCCTCACCTGAAAAGCATTCATCATTAGTCTCGCATGACACCTATTTTTCACTTCAAAAGTAACTGATATGAAAGAGGTCTTTTTGTATTTTTTTTGTTTTTGTTTTTACCACATAGGCTTAATTCATACTCTTCAATTTTCTTCACAAGGCTCTTGTCAACTTTTTCACAAAGACTCTTCAAGACCTTTAGGTTGTCTTCTCTCAAAATCCCCTTCTTCTCCATCTCAGTGAAAACGTCGATCATTGTCTGGGCAATCAGAAAGGCAGTTTCTCCTTAGGGCACATTCATGCTGCCAAGGGGAGGGAGGCTGCAGCAAGTACAGCTGTACCTAAGCCAGCTTTAAATGTACTGACAGCACACATGACCCTCCCCAAGAGTTAGTCTTGCTGGTTGATATCTCAACTAATTCAGGTGCTAAGCAACTTCTTCAAGACATGCTCGTGTCCCTCCTGTTATTCAGAGATGCTGATCACCATTCTATCTAGATCACACAAGAACATGCCATATCTTTTGCTCTTTTTTTTTTAAACTCATTTTTACACTTGACTCCTGCTTTCAGTCAGCTGCTTTCCAGTGACAGTTTCATGCACTTACTTAACTAAAAAGAATCATTTCAGGGATTGCCTCTGGCAGTGGATAAACTGAATCTAACCATGCAAGCATGGCGCAGAGATTAGCTTCTAAAGGGAGAGAGGACCCAATGCTCACACCAAAGAGCAGGGGGCAAAGTTTCTGGTCACTCCCCCAGCCTTTACTAGTATGGCTACCAACTGTTCAGTCTCCTCTGAGAAAGAAGGACAAGTACCTAGCAGTCAGAACCATAGCTGAGATAGATAGTGTAAGGGCAGCTGGATTTCTGTGGGCCATAAATGAAACCCATGCTCTTCTGCCTTAGTTCTGTTAAGAATCTGCTTCTTAGTTCTATATTTTCTGATTTTTGGAAGTAGAACAAAAACATAAAGTGGGTGAGCTGTGCATTTGATAATGGTCTAGAAAGCAGCCAAAAGAAAGTTGGGAAAGATGAGTCCATGTGCTAATCACCACTGATTTCTACTTTTTATGAAAAGCCACTGAGTCCCCTCAGCCCTGTATTAAGCTTGATCATTAAGGCCTCAGCGCCTGTCACAGGAGTGGCCCAACCTCCCTGGCCTGTAGCACTGTTACAGGGGCTACAAGCAACACTGCCACAGACTGAGTCCCCCACTCATGGGAGGCCAGTTCCGTGCACCCTTTCCTGATACTCTTCAATATCAGTGGCACTCACTCCTAGGAATAACACCAAAATACATCTATAGATTAAAATAATGATAAATACATCTGTAGATTTAAAAATAACTACAAAAACGGGATTAAACAAGTCATTCTTACATTCTCAGTGTTCAGCTTGGATTTTGGTAGTTCTTTTCCCAAAAGAAATTTGAAACACTTCAGCTCCTCAGTGGTGATGTTTTCAGACAACTGAAAGAGCAGGTACCTAGAAAGCAAGTAGAGGACACAATTTCCTTTAGTACAATTTAACAGTATACTATTGAACTGCGCTCTGTCCCCTCATCCTATGCATACACAGTTTTTCCTTTTTAACCCATGGAACTTATGACCCAGGACACTGTAGAGCCAAATGTTTTCCAGCTGTGATTGTTAAGACATGCATTTTTTCTAAGAACTACACTGAATCTTTCCGGAACTAAGAACAGGCGAACTGCCATGACTGGTACCTACTCTCACTACGCAGTTCCTTAGGAGCACAGAAATTTCTGCCAGCTACAGAGTCACTGCAGTGAGATGCACAGGTAGAGCTAGACTGCAGCTACACTGGGGGAGTACATGTCTGAACTTGCTTGGACCGCTGTTTCCAAGCCACTGTGCAGAACCAAGGTAGAGCTGAAAAAGTGTTTCACCAAGGTGCAGCTTGCTTTTCTTCCCTTTACAGAAATTTTACTAGAATGATTCTTCACAGGTTGTATCTGCTTTCCCTCGGGAAGGTGTGGAAACCTGTGTGCTTCCAAACTTAGCCTGGAGTTCAGGTCTTTGATAAAACTTACACTAACAAACACATACGAAAAAAGAAACTGTTCTGAGAGAGAAAAACCTCCTGGGTAAGAGGCAGTTTGCAGCACTCACGCGCCTGCGTGGGGAAGCTGTGGCCCCAGGCACTCACCTGAACGGAGACACCTTCGCCCTGCCTGGGATCCGAAGCTCCCTCTCCATCTCCTCCCGGCTGGAGCCCAGGTGGGAAACCAGGATGTCCACGCGATTGATCCGGTAGAGCAGCTCCTTCAGGAAGGCCTGATCACCGTCGCTGACCAGGGCTTTCTCCTGCAGCGCTTGGAAGAAGGCCTTGGGGTCCTGAATGGCTTCCTGCTTCTTCAAGGGGATGTGCTCCAGGCTGAGGAACTTGAGAGCAGCCAGGTCATCAGTGGCCAGCGCCTCGCTGATACTGAAGAGGTGCCTGGAGAACTCCATCGTCCCCTGCTGCCCGCGGGGAAGTTTTCAGGCCTGTGGAACGAGCGACAGGCAACGTTTTTCCGGCTACCTCTGCACTTCCGCGCTCAGGAGGCGGTGCCCGGGTGCCGGGAGCGGCAGTTCCGCGCGCTGCCGCACAAGCGGTGCCGGCCTGAGGGACACGCCAGCCCCAGGAGGAGGACGGCGACGGACAGGGCAGGCCAAGCCACGGGGCCAACACTTGGGGCTCTCCCTGGGGCTGTCCGGTCTCCACGACCCCCCGTTCCGTCCTCCAGCTACGCAGCATTCCCGTGGCTCCTGCCAGCTCAAGTCTCCAGCCCTGCCCCAGACTCCCCACGGTCAGGACAAACACAAACCAAAACAAGCAACCAACTAAAAACTGAGCGGCGGCCACACATCACTTCCCCCAGGATGTTTTAGGCCCTCCCAGTTTGCTGTTATGAATTACTGTAAAGTTGAAAAGGTAGAAAAATCTTACTGCTAAGGTCACACAACACTGTGAAGAATGTGGTTCTGTGGCTGCCGCTGATCACAGACCAGAGAGCAACCACCTCCAGTGATGACCGCGACAGAGTCCATTCCTTCTGAGGAAAAAATACCGGTGTAACCACAAGCCACTTTCATCCATTTTGCCGAGGAAGCTACTGTTTTTTCCAAAACTCTTACCCAATTACCACGAAATAATATTACACCCCACTTTTTGCTGCAAAAAGTCTATCAGACAGATTTTTTTTTTTTAAGGTGGAAGGATTTCTCATACAGCTTCAAAAATAAGTGGGATACTAGCAGAAGTGATGCTTAAGTACTATTGTTGACTTCGTACCACATGCAAACCATGATGTGCTGCAGGTTTTTTAACATAAGAACAGCACCTTGATTTCTGAACTCTTATCTTTTTGTTTCGAGTAATTCATACAACCTTTCACTGAGATCCGCAAGCGGAAACTAGTGGGGGAGGCAAATGAAGGCCTTCTAACTGTATTTTGATACATTTCATAAAAAAGGGAAAAAAAAAAAGTGCTGAGACCATTTCAAAAACTAATCGTTAGTGTGGCATTTTAAGGTTTGAGCAGACTAAATAAATTATCTCAAATCTTCATCTCCAATCAAGCTTTTTTTTTTTTTTTTTTTTTTTAAAAAAAATAAAGGCTTTTCCTGGCCACACCATTATTTACACGTGCATCCCAAGGATATCTTTGACAGGACCAAAAGAATTACAAGTCCACTTTCGTGTAAACTGAATTTACTTTTGTAGGTACGAAGTCATTATTCTGCTTGGCTTTTCTGCTTGGCTTCTACTGCAACTGCCTCTCTTTAGTTTACAGGCACTAACAATTAATTAGCCCATTTTAATATAAAATAAAAATCATACAATCATTATGGTTGGAAAGACCTTCAATATCATCGAATTCCTCTGTAAACCTATCACCACTGTGTCCCTACGTGCCTCAGCTTTCCTTGAACACTGCCAGGGATGGTGACTCCGCCACTTCCCTGTGCAGCCTGTTCCAGTGTTTCATCACTCTTTCTGTGTAAAAATTCTTCTTAATGTCTAACCTGAACCTTCTCTGATGCAACTTGAGGCCATTCCTCTTGGCTTACGAGTAGTTATTCTGGAGAAGAGATCGACCCCTACCTCGCTACAACCTCCTTTCAGGTACTTGTAGAGAGCAATAAGGTCTCCCCTGGGCCTCCTCCACACTAAATAACCGCAGCTCCCTCGGCCGTTCCTCCTAAGGTCTGTGCTCCAGCCACTTCACCAGCTTCGTTGCCCTTCTTTGGACATGCTCCAGCATGAGACTTGTCAGAAAGCAAATTTTTTTTGACTTCGTTATTGTGAGCAGTTTGCAGGCTGTTGGCAGGAAATGCTGCACATTTATACCAGGTGTTTGATCCTGTCCCCTAGTAGGCACCGACTGTTGTGTCAGCTCCTTCCCAACCCTCAAGATCTGATCAAGGACCTTTTAGCATCAGGAGCGGGATTGACCTCCTGAGCAGGGCAGCAGCGTGCGCCCTTGGCACAGTGTTTCACCTCTCACGCCACCCATGGGATTTCACTATGGGAGGGAGGAGATGATAATCCTACTCACAAGGAGTTTCAGCCTTCTGAAACCAAACATCAAAACATCAGCACTCAGGATGAGCAGGAGAGTCACTCTGACATTATCCACACTCCCCAAATTAACAGTGTTGTCACTGAATGCTGTTAAAAACAGACTCAGTTCCCCAAGAAAAACAGCTTAGTATAGCAGTATATCAAGAGGACATATTTATATTGCTATCAGCAAAAATTATTTTTAAAAAATATTATCAGCAGAAATAACCTGAGAAGACATTTTAAAACAGCTCATGATTTAACTGGCCCCCAGAAATGTAGTTAAAACAAGTTTTTTTTCTAGTAAATAATCTGAAGAGGGTATGGATCTGACACTGACTGTATAAATCAGGCCTGAACATGAAGCAGTTATATAAACGCAAAACCAGTGTGCAAGGCACAAATCAAGCTCAGAAGCAACATGCAGAGTCACTTTCCACCTAGTTACACCGCACTACATTTTGCACCCACAACTGCCTGCCACCCCAGGGGCTGGGGAAATTCCTATGGCTGTCAATAACAGAACGGATACAGTGATAAATAAAGGCACAAGTACAGAGAGAAAACACAGAAATGACTATGTGGGACTTCCCAAAGACCTAAAACATAGTGTTTTAACGCACTGCAGAGAAGTCATTTTAGACTGAGGTCTCTGTTCAGATTTTGATACATTTCTAGCTAGAAAAAGATAGACCCTAATAATTTCTGAGAGCAGGTCACCATGTTAGTTAAGTCAAAAACAAGCAGAAAAGTCATATGCAAGGACAGAGCATGGAACATTTCTCAAGAAAGTCTAGTTTTCTGTTCAACAGCTAGATCTCCTAAACTGAGAGTGTTTTGTTTCAACTCCCTCTCTGGGCTCCAAGATTTCCTGCAGGAGATCTTAGACCACAGACATAAGCAACATTTTAACCAAAATTCTGAAGTTTTAGCTAAACTCTTCACCAATTTGAGAGTGAACAGGCAGTGAGAAACAGTGGGAAAAAAAAAAAAACTTACGTATTTCAGTAGCCAGGGCCCTGAGGGGAAGCGGGCAGCGTCCACAACACAAGCAGGCTCCTCACACGTGCCAGGGTGCCATCCCGCCAGCAGCTGATGAACAGCAGGTCTCAAAAGACCTTTCCAGTGGAGAGAGAGAGACAAACTCACCAGGGAAGGAAAACAGTTCTCCAGGAAACGGATGTTAAACTGCAAATGTGAGGGCCACCCCACACCACCCCCGGAAACTTGCTTCTGCCTTTGCAGCGGTCCTCCCTAAAACTCTTGTAGTCATCTTCCCCTTTCTAACGGCTTCACTTTCATCTTGTCTGATTTTCAGCTAGTCTGCAGTTCTTTAACTCACCAGTCCTACCAGCTTTCTGAATCCACTTTCTAGTGGTGGTTCTGCCACTGGCTGCAAACACACACAGCCTTGAGCGCCAGCCATCATCTTACCACAGCATCTGGTCTTCCAGCCAGGAGCCAAAGAAAACATAGACAGGCTGAATAACCCTAGGAAAAAGAGAATCATAAAGCTGTAGAACCAGCGTCCTTGCCTCTCCAGAGGGCCACAAGTATGTGCAACACAGTGGACATATGAATTCCTAGTACGGCTACTTCCTGCCCCTGCTTGTAACCACCAGAACATATCCTTGATGGACAGTTTCAACATGCATGTAGTAAAGGTGACATATAGATTTTATTAGTAGCACAGTTTAAAGCTTGTCAGAATCAAAGCTCCTAATTTTTGTTGCTGTGTCTAACAACTGAATTCAGAGTAGAGGACTCCTTCTCTGCCACCACTTCTTGCCTGTATGACCATGTCTGTATCACCATCTTTTCTCAATCTCCTTCCAATATACAGTAGCTCCTAAAACGTTCTCCCCCTTCGTCCACCCTCACTTTTCTTGATCTTTCTCTGTCATTAGAAAAACACTGCAGTGGCACAAGCCAATGTTAAGGATAATGCTTACACTGAAGTTTTCCTTGCAAGAATGCCTTCTGTACAAGCTAGAAATGCCTTCCAAGACATTAATAAAATTAATGCAAATATTAGCCCTGGACACTTTCAGAGATAAACCACTCTACTACTATGCTCGTTTGGACTTGCTTACCTGTTGATAATGGGACAGAGAGCACAGAGCTAATATGTTTGAAATTAAAATAGTGCCATGAAAAGCTTTTCTCTTTTTTTTTCTTTTTAAAATGGACAGGAAGCTGCAAATGCCAGTGGCAATGTGGCTCTGCACAAGGGTAATAAAGCAGTCTGCGTTTGTGAAGCAGGTTTTCAAGAATGAGGAGGATTTCAGACAGACAGCGATACAAAACTGTTGTACTGCTGGATGTTCCGTTTGAGGATATCGGAGCAGGGGCCCAGGACGCGCTCGAAGCGGGGTCAGTCGAGCTTGACGCGCTTCAAGAGCCCTTGAGCGACAACGGTGGCAGCATGAGGACGGTTCATCAGCAGAGCTATTTCACCAAAATAATCAGAAGGTGCCAGTCTGCCCACTTCAACAAATGCTTCATTTTCTGATCAACGCTGTAACACTGCAGCTGTGCCCTCCAGGATGATCTCATCCAAGAACTCATCCCCTGGGCCTTCCTGGACCACAATCTTATGTTAATCCTCAAACTGCACTGGTTCCAATGCATCAGCTACAGTGAGATGCTCCCACTTGTCCAAAGATTCCAGTATAGATACTTTACTAAGGAATTCCTCATACATTTTTCTCTTTCTTAAAGTACTTCCCATCAGGATCCTTCTGTAGCTGTTTCTGTCAATGCCCCACAGCTTCACATCGGTCTTTGCTTTGGCGGTGGCAGCTCGGGGAGTTCCATAGATCAGGGCGAGCTCCCCGAAGCTGCCACCTTCACCAACACCAATTGCCCACTCGTTGTTCACATAAACATCCTTGATTAACAACACAGAAGTTATCACCTTCATCACCTTGCTGTATCAGAGTCTCGCCTGCAATGCAGGTGACAGGGAACATTGTGTCAAAGATGTCACTCCTCTCATTATCATCGAGATGGGCAAACAGCACGTTCTTCTCAATAGCTTTTGCCAAAGCAGCCATAGTTTTATAATCCCTTGGAATAACCTTTCTGACATAGGATGCGGCATCCTCTTCCATGTAGACTTCAGCACTGATGGCCTCGTGCCTTCTTCGGCCCTTCACCACCAGGTTCATAGGAGGAGGAGGGGACATTTCACCCTCCCGCGAGTCCGAGCGCGACCCAGACTTCTGTTGATTCAACAACGGTTTTGTTTCCTCCTTCTCCAGCCTTTCAAAGTATTCCCTGAGGAATCCCATGGGTCGTTCAGGCCGCACGGTGCACAGCTGCACAATGCAGTCCTTCAGAAGTTGCTGGATGTTGTGTTTTTGGACATAGAGTTCACATTCTCGAAGGCTACGCTCCGCCTCACTGCTGCTGCTGGAAGCTGCCATTGCTGGGCCAAGGGTGGTGGCAACAGCTATGAATAAGCAGCAAGATGCATCAATCCCAGGATCAGCACAGCGGCTCTGCGCGTCCCTCAGCGGCAACGGCCAAAATTCTATGATTCTATGATAGCAACTTAGAAGCTTTCCTGTGAGACAACAGTTCATGGGTACAAGAGGAATATTGCATTAGAGTATTTTAACTGGGCTTTCTCGCTTTTAGCAGCTCTTCATGAGCAGGCAATAACATTCACTGTGCAGATGAGTGACCACAGTTTAATAGGTAGAACAAACTGCCATGGAAGTTTGATGATGGAGACAGTAGCATGAGGAAAAAGAAATACTGCAGATGCACAAGTTCACTACTACCAATGACATTTTCTCCTAAGCTTAATGCAGTAGCTGTCATCTTCTAGCATGTCATCATGCAGTTACTTTAAGATATATTTCTGTATCATAAAGCAACATTCACAAATCTAACTAATAACTTCACAGCAGGACCTCATTTATGAAAACACTATTAAAAGGTAAATAAATTGATGCCAGATGTTTCATTACATGGTTAAATAAATGTCAACCACAAATGTTAACAACACCTTTACCTAATGGGCCACAAATAGCATGCTCATTTACACAGTGGTTTTAACTTTTATTTACTATGTAGGAAACCTATGTGAATAAAGCTGTAATTTTAAGAATGGACAACCTCTCTTTTACTTGGGAGGTGAAAAAGTGGAGGAAAACACAACTTTCAACACACTGCCCGGAATTAGGGAGAAAAGTAGCCTTACACCAGGAACACAAGCATGATCAAGTGAAGAACCCCTTTAGAATGGCTCACAGCTCCCATCTATGTGTTGCTGAAGATACAAAAGGGAAAAAAAAAAGAAAAAAAAACACTGGCAGCAGCTGATCTTATCATGCAAGTCTGAACTTCAGCTTACTCTTTTCTGCTAATTCTCCACCTGCTAAAGAGGCCATACGAATATGCCATCTCCCAGCATGACTGTCACAGAACACTTCAGTGAGAGAAAAGACAAAACAAAGGTCCTGCTGTCCTTCTGAACATGCCCCAGTCCACTCATCTGAGAGAGAGATATACCACAAACAAGGATGACATGGAAACCAGGAGTATTTATTACAAAGAGCCCATGAGACTTGTAGTTCCCATCAGAGAACTACAGAAGAATCAGAGAAATGCAGATATGCATCACCATCATCACCATCATTACCACCAACTCTTGCTGGTTCTTCTTAGCAGGGATATTATTTTTTGAGGAGAATTCAGCTTCCAGGTGGCTCATGATTATTCACTTCTGGTAAATCTGTTAAAATCTCACACACAATCCCTGGGAAGGGATTCTTGCATCCTGCATCTAATGGCTGTTTTTTTTGGATTTCACAGATGAGTTCTCTTAACTATTTCCACCAGCATTTCTAACGATGCTAGGGAATAACAGTGTTTTAAAATGCTTCCTCACTTGAAACAAGGACTGTTCAATCCCCACAACTTCTGCAGGACAGGAAGGCAGCTCTGTACTTCTCCCCTGCCCTATGGCACTACTACAGATCCAGGTATCAGGGGACTGAGTAATCATGGGAATCAGAAAATTGAGGATATGTGGGCCCTTGCAGGTCTCTCAATTAATTGCATGGATTCAGACAATTTCTCTTGCAAATTCTCCTGAATTCCATCCACACTGAGGCCCATTCCAGAAGGAATCCTAATTGGTGATGTCCTTACTTTTTTGTACTTCTCAGTTGACTGGGACTATGGAAATTGGAAGATCAGTTGCTTCCTTAGGGTTGATGATATTTTTGGCATCTGTTTATATCCATTTAATTCTTTGCTTGCCACTCTCCTGTTCACTTCTGTCAGGATGGTTACGATATCCATGCGGCTTGAACAAAAATGAAAAGTACATTAAAATACACAGTACTTTCAACAAAGTCAAGACACTGACCTATGTTTGCTCCAATAACTTGAGATCTCAGGGAAAGCTGGTATCTTCCTATAATTGAAATTGTGCAGCCCATTGTGTAACTATAACATGCAGAAAGTATTGTGGAATAAAAGCAACCTCTGTAAAATCACTTACAAACACACACAGCCCTCTGCCTTGGCTATGGTCAGGAGACAGCACTAAAATGACACAGGATCCAATGTATGCATTTTCCAAGCCCTTCTCTGGACTTGATGAGAAAGTGGTGTCTGGAAAGAAATCTTATTTTCTAAAACAATTTTAGGAAGGGAGGATTAACATGGGTGAGGCAACAGGGAATTTTACAAATAAAAATACTACTTTTTGCCTGTGAGCTCAACCAACAAATTTGCCCGCCACCAGGTGTCACTGAAAGATCCTTTGTCATTTTTTAAAAAAAGGTAAAAAGCATGTATACACTTGTTTCTGTGCGCTACATGCTTGTTTATAAAATTGTTTTACATGCTTTTTGTATTCTACAAACTTGTTCATATGCAATTACATAAACACACAGTTGTTTATATGCAGTATTCCAACATTACAACCCTGGTTCTGCAACAGACAAAGTAGGGTAAATTACTTGAACTTAGAAAAATAACAGTGCCCACTTCTGGAATAATTACCGATAAGACACTGCTTTGGCAGGTGAAAAGCATTATAAAGAGCAAATGCAAAGCAGCCATATTCCAGCTCAGCATGCTTAAGTGTGTACATCACAAATACATCAGTCGTACCTGAGTTAAAAATTGTACTTACAGTGGGCAAAGCTGCTCCAGCTTTTCACAGAGGCACTGGATGTAAACACTGCCAGACGTCATGGAGCGGTAACACTCGAAGTCTTCCACGGTAGCCAAGCCAAGTAAAATATCAGCCTGATCAGGTATGGAAGGCAGAGGGATAGCATCTGTCTCCAAATAGACAGACAAGTCTTCTTTTAACATGACAGCTTGATGACCTACAGACCCTTGACAAGCCTGGATGAAAAACAGCTTGGGTTTTCCAGCAAGAGAAGGACAGTTTAATCCACTAAAGCGTAAGAGTATATCTTTAATATTAATACATTCCTCATCAATGCCTTTTATTTTGTCTTTTTCACCATGAGAAAGGATGAAGCAAACAAAACAGTCCATATTGCTATGATCTTTCTTGCTGTATTCTTCAACTTTTGCATACAGTTGTTTTGCATCTAGATCCATGTGCTCAATTGTCTCAAACTGAAGCCTCTTAAAGACCCTCTTCACTGTCTCTGGAAAAAAAAAGCCAGAAGACACTTATTAACAGTGCTAAGGAAGAAGAGGAAACTCCAAGCTCTGTGTGGTACAGCGGATATTCTCAGAAGCAGTCCGATCCTAGCCTGACTCTCAGCGTGACGAGTCTTAAGAAAAGCTCAGATGCTTTTTTTTTTTTTTTTAAACACAATGTTCAATCTAGTGAAGCTAAGTGTCTTATGCAATGCATTTAACTGTACACTGCATAGCAAATGCAGCTAAAGATCAGCATAGCAATCCCAGATGGTTAAGAACAGCCCCTTAGATAAAGAAGAGGTATTCCTTTAGCATGAGAAATTCTGTCCCTCTTAAATGATGCAACTTTGCAGCTTCCTCATTCTGTGAGAATGATCAGTGCAGAGAAAAGAAAAAGCCACAAGCAAAGGCAAGTGCTGTGCAGACTTCTCAGCAGCTGCTGAGTTGGTGCTTGGCGGAGAGAAACAGAAACCTGTAAAGAGGACAAGGTTAAAATATTACTGATGTGTTAATTAGATTTTAGTTTAGCCAGATAAAGGAATTACTCTTGCAAGAAGAAAGACTTTAAGGAAAATGATAACACAGTAAAATACTTGCATTTACTGGAGCATTGGTGCAAACAGATGCACATACTAACTCAGAATGCTTTCTCAGCTGACAGCATGTCAAAGATATTCCTTTCATTTGCAAATTAAGCAAAGAAATCACTGAAGAGAATTTAAGGACCTGTAAAGTGTTCCTTTATGATAGTTAAAAAGTAAAAAGAAAAATAAAATATTCACTGTATACTTAGAAAACTTTGTCTCCCTCACTGTATACAGGGAATACATGTTATACACCAACAATTAACAGGATGCTTTGTCTTTCAACCTGCCTTATCACCAAAATTGTTGAAAGTGGCATATTTCCGATTTTTGCAGTGACTCATTCCAGTCATTCTGGAGACTCATTCAGGAAGCAAAAGTGCTTTGTCAAAGCAGTCATTCTTCACAGAGAAGATTAGGTAGTTCTCTCAGAGGGAAACACAAAAATGAGTAAGTTGGATTAAAATAGTACTTACCTCCATCTTTCACTGTTCCTTCCCTGTTTAAACTGGGATTTTTAAAAATGTAGTTGTTAAGAATCACGCAGTAACCGTGGGGGTTATTTTCCATCTTATATGCTTCCACAAACTGCAGTAACACAGAAAGCAGGTAAAAAAGTAGTGCCAAACTGTCCAAGAGACATACACTACACAGAGATCTTTTCTTCACCATGCTCAACATGAAAAAAAAAAAAAAAAAAGAGAGCCAAGATACAAGAAAGGAAAACTCCCAAATACAAACCTGTCCTAGGTACAGGGGAAAGCATGCTGCTTCCTCTCCCTGAAATCCATTCTCCTATCTCCGTGGCTGGGATATGATTTTGGAATGAAAAGAAAATATCCCGAAACATGTGCAGAGGAAAGATTTCTGCACTGTATCATTCCCATTGATAGTCTTGTTGGATTTGCTGTGAGGGAGCAGATGTTGCTGGCCCCTCTCCATCTGTTCAGCTTGAGTTGGAAGAGGATGTACTACTACTACCTTTGCCTGTCCCAGTTTCGATCATTTTTAAGACTGATTTTTTTCCCATGATAGATACTACTTTATTTCTTGTCTGCAAGGTTGCAACAGCCAGGTCCTCACCAGGGGACAACGCTTGGCCTTCTTTTGAAAATGGGAATTCTTTTAAAGCCTATATATAAAGCCATGCCTCCTCCCCTTTACCCTTTTCCCCCTCAGTTTTAGGTACCCATGCTCCCAGGAGCTGTCTGAACACTTTAAAGGCAGTCTTCATTATTTCTCACCCGGCATGCTCGTGTTCCCCCCACTGCTCCTTGTTCTGCTGGATTCACAGATGTGCATGTTGGAGGGAAGAATTTTTCCTCAGAATGATTCCCTAAGAGGAGGATAAACAAACCACTTTAGGAATAAACAACAAATCTTCCACTTAGCATATTTCAGCACCAAAAGAACAACCAAGGAGTGAGCTAGTGTCAAAACACCACCATTTTGGAGAGGTTGTATCAAGCAGGGTTCCAGTTTTGCAGACATCTTGCTGCAGAGAGAAATTGCAGAATGATCCTTGCAACAAAAAATATGTTTGTGCTAGACTACTACACCCCTAAGCAAAAACCACCAAAATTGCAGTCCCTAATTACGAAGAAGTGAATTTTTACCCTCAGGCACAACCAGAAGCTTGAAACTGGAAGACATGCCCTGCATTCCCACAGTATCCTACCTCACTCCAGCCCTTCCCTGCCCTTTGGCTGGCAGCAAGATGCAGGTAATCTGAGTCTGGATACAAGTGCTCACGCCAGGCAGGCCATTCACTAGCATCTCCACTGTGGGATGGAGAAGTGACAGAGAAGCCCCATTTTTGTACAGTGATTACTACCCTGAGCCCACCCACTTCTGAGGCCATCGCCTCTTTTCAAAGAGCCAAAGTCTTGTCTCCGGTAACTCTTCCTTCTGCAAAAGCAAGCAGTCTGGCTAACAGAAAATAACAGACAACCTCCCAGCACAAAACTAGCTTCCCAAGGCTTTGTCTGTCACTTCTGTTCTCTTTTAGTGACTGAAAAGCTGAACTGGTCCAAAAACAGCACTGCACTCTTTGTTGAGGAGGAAGACTGCTTTAAAGGCAAAGAGGAAGATCCAAATTATTTACACAGCACAGAATATAATTCAGGGAGAGGTACAACAAGATATGATGGGATGGCGAAGCAGCAGAAAACTTAGAACATCACAGGTACCAAAAGCCATGATGCCTATCCTAGGATACTATACAGTATATCTCTTAATTCTGGACTACTCAGATCCCAAGAACTGAGTCAGGAAATGATAAAACTCAGGCCTATGCTAAATTAGCTGATTATGTAATTTACCTTTTGTTTTTAGTTCATAGGTATCAATTTTTTTCTTTAGGTCAGCACGAAATCCCTTTAATATATCCTTCAGTTTTGTCACATCATCTTCTGCAATTAGGTCATTTCTTTCCATTTCCAGTAAGACCATCAACATTGACTGGTAAAAGAAAAACAAACAATACAAACTCATACGTGACCTTCAGTGACTGCATCAAGTGATCAAGTAATTTTGAGTAATCAAGCCTCAAAATATCTGACACCTCTGGACAGAGCAGAAGACAACATCCTCATTCTCAGAGACTGGTCAGGTAAAGACTGATTTCTTCTTCCTTCAGCCCTCATTAGAAATGGATCAGGATGCAATGTGACTGAAGAAACGTACCAGTAAGTTAAGAAAGGACCTTTAGAAACTGCCTTTACCTGAGTTATCCTGATTTGTTTCAACGGTGCAAAACAGTTATGTGGACACTAATGTGGCAATCCTGTTAAGTGCCACTACATTCAGATTAATTATTCCTTCTCTGGAGATCTTCAAAACCCGCTTGGATGCAGTCCTGCGCCACGTGCTCTAGGTGTCCCTGCGTATGCAGGGGGGTTGGACTAGATGATCTCTAGAGGTCCCTTCCAACCCTAAGCATTCTATGATTCTATGATTCTATGATTCTATTTTCTAATACAGAAGAGGCCTTCAGGAAAAAAAATAAACCTGGTTAGACCATGAAATTGGAAGCAAATCTGCCAATTTTCCTACAGGTACCACAACACAAATAGGACTGACAAATTCGGAAGCTTCTTAACAATATCTAGCATTTTTATAACACCGTTCATTATTTACAATGCAGCTATTCAGCTAGGTTGTCAAGCCTCTCAGTACTTCTGAGGAGAACTTAACAAACATGCTGCTATTCTAAATTACAATAAAGAAATATACCAATGAACACAGAGAAAAAAATGCGATGGAGCTCAGGTTAGACTCTAAAACTCTAGACTCTTGTTTTTTTTACTCCAGTATCCACCACTCCTCCTGGATACAGCATATGCACAAATGCTTCTAAAAATCGCAATCAAAGACAAAAGAGGAAAAGGCCACGAGACAGAAGTGGGGTACAGAGAAAATAAGAACAGGAAAGGGGAGAGAAAAGACAAGACAAAGAAAAAAGGTTTCACTCTGTCACAGAACAGTTGTCAACTAACATCATAATTCTTTGAAAAACAGATTTTTTTTTGCAAGAACAAATTACTTTCTCATTCCTCCCTCCTTACAAGGGGCAGATTCTGAACTAGCCTTGCATGGAAATTACAAAGACCACTATGCCTACAGCATTATCCCGGAGCTTGCCCTTGGGTAATTGTTCTTGCAGC